TAATAAAATATGCAAATTATCTCCTGTACCGGCCTGAATATAGACAAACCCGAACACATTTCATACACAAAAAACACCAACCGGTAACTGTGGCTACGCCACCTGACGGAATGTCACGAATACACAACAAAAATAATTTTAATTCTAATGCTTTCTCGACGTCCACGAGGCATCCAACTTGCGTGCATAATGCTAATTATTGCACTCTAGTGCCGAATTTCGGCGAAAAAAAATGCCAAAAAAGGCCTTTTCTAGAGACGAAGTAGTGCAACGGTGAACAATCGCGGACGCTTACTGTTATATGCCTCCTGGAGACCCGCAGCCTCATGAGAGCTTATGTATGATGCAGTGCTCAGCTAGATGTAGTCCAATGTAAAAAATAACCCAATAATGAGTCTGAATAATTTCATTGGTATCAAGCCCCCGTGTAGCTTTAATTATTAAGCATACGCTTCAGTAGTAACATGTGGTCGCATGGAAGAGTGATTAGGAGAATAAGGGAGTCACCGTGGTTGTGTAAAAGCAACAGGAATCTTTGTCCGGTGATTAGAACCACAGTGTGGCACGAGAACGCAGAAGTCAAATGTTTCTGTTGGATTAGGTGTAATGCATTTACCGAGCTGAACTTTGTTCCCCCTCATCTTCTCCTCTTTTCCATTCAGTTCTCCTGTTTCTTTCTTCTTCCTTTGCCTCGTTCATTTGAACAACCAAGCCTCCCTTTCTCGCTTCTTTCGCCTTCCCCATGCTTCCATGCATCTACATCCTCATCTAATCCTTTATCTGATCCTCCTCATCCACCTTCTCCACCAATCCCTGTGTCATACTATCTCTTATCTACCTCCACCACCCTCTAATATTAGCCGTCTGACCTGATCTATAGCTTTTCCCCCACCGCCAACCTCACATATTCAATCTTCTTCTCTCGTCCATCTTAATTGTTCTTCCGTTCCCATCTTCCACACCTGTAAACCTGCGTCTCCTCGTCTCTCCCTTTATTACTTCATTCTATGTTTCCATGCTCATCTTCCATCTTCTCCATCAACATTGTAATCATTCCTCGTCATATTGCTAGAACTTTTCACCATGCACTTCCCCTTGCTCTCTCTGTGTATCCCGCCACCTTTTCCCTGATTATTATCACTTGTGTATATTATAGAATAATACACCGAACCCCTTGTCGATTTCAGCTGCGGTCTTCTCATCACTGGAAAATTTGGGTTGGAATTTCTTTAGCTATCGCTGTTGGCACAGAAATTAACTACTCCATTGACTTTATGTACCAAAGATGACAGAACAGACAAAGATGCAATGTTAATTCACAAGCTGAATTCACAAGTCGTAATACACAAGGAAACTACTCATTTGACACATCCCTCATCACTTGAGAAGTTGTTATACTGCGACTCTCATTATTACAACGTGTATTCTATTTGATTTTGTGTATTGAGGGATGTTTTTTTGTAAAGTCTAGTTGGAATGTAATTATATGCGATTGAGAGTGAGAGTAGTAGTAAGAGACAGATTTGAAGTGTTTGTGAAACTTTACTTATTTTTACATTTATTTATTGAAAACCAGAAATTGATATGATTAAGTTTTATAGTTTGGTAAAGTATTACAAAATATGACCGTTTATCGGTATATTTCATTACCAGTACTATCAGAATTTGACACGCGTCAGTGTTGTCTATTAAATGCACACGTATCATCAAAATGAATAGGTCAAATGCATATCAGTAAAATTGTAATTATTGTCATTCTCTTGCTGAGTAGATAGTTCTGTCAGTATTTGAACCCTAACTGAAGTGACTCGATATTCGATATATCATGGCGCATATATTTTCTCGTTGCCCAAAAATATTTAGCTGGTCATGAACGGTATAGCAGAAAATATTAATTCGTATTCGTAGTGTATGCATATTATTGCTAACCGATTTGATAACGAAATGCAATATTGCTCGTAACATTGATGCAGCATTGTGCTAATTAGATAAATTACTTTTAGTAGGTGTCGACTTGGTGGTTCTGGTGTAAGATTAGCTAAGTAGTAAGAAGTAAGATGTAGTTTATTTCCCTAGCTGGATTAATTTCATTCTCACATCTATTTTGGATAGTTTAAGTGTTTTTCAGTCGGTTCAGTGCTTTTAAAACTTTATCCTATATAATGAATTTTACTATCGCTGCCTATGATCTTATTTTGGAGGGTAATTCTCTTTGTAAACTCTTGTCGAGATGCAATTCAATATGCCGCCGCTTCTCCTAAATACGTGGACACAACTATACTCTATAATAGTTGCCTCCATTATGCTTTGTAATAATTGGTAGTAATAAAGTGGCACTTAACAGCGCAATTTATGTGAAAAATAGCATTTTACAATCCCTTATTCCACGCGATTTTATTGTGAGAGTGGCGCGGCTATATATGCACCGAGCATAAAAATTATTCGAAATTATTTCGCTGCAAATTAAAAATGGAGAATGTGGCAGTCACTGAAGTGACCATACCACGATTCATAGAAGCGAAAATGGCACGGACACAGCGATAAGGCAGTCAGTAAGGTTAAAGTAGCAAGGTAGAGGCTATTCGAATTGATGGCATATAAATTGCGTGCATAACCTGGAAAGTTGTGTTTCTTAAGCCAATTATGGTGCGCTGTGTTCCAGTTTCTTGGATCTGCAGAATATATGAAGACATCGAAACATACATGACAATTCCCAGACCTGGTCTGACAGCTGGAACACCCCCCCTCCCCCTACTCGCCTCATCGTCATAATAAATGTATGCAAACGTTAATTAGCAAGAAATATTTCTGGTTAATTAGTTATTGGTAATCGAACCCCCATACATGGTTGACTTGGACCCTGAATAAACACCATCGCATGCATGCTTAAAATCTTCGCAGGTTGGTACTTCATGTAGAGAAAACTCACAAAACTCCGTTAGTGCACACGCACGCACGCACGCACGCACACACGCACACTGCCGGCGAAGCGGGTGTGATACAGATTTATAGTGCACCGGACATTTTCGCACGCGTGCTCGGCCGTACGCAATGCTATCATCAGTGATTTCGTAAACATGGACGCTCGTGATAAAGAACTTTTTGTCAGGGCTGTCCACGTGCGTCGGTGATTAGTACGTGTGTTTTACTCTATTTTCATGTTTAGTCCGTGGCCGTGGTTACACCGCTGACACCTCCGTTTTATCTGGCGTCCAAAACATACGGGCCGCACAAATGTTTACGTCATCGCTTGACTCCTGGATGACATTTACGGCACGTAAATGATACGTTGATACGTTGATACATATCAACAGCCGATTTCAAGTCTTGTTTGTAATGTAACCAGCAGTGATATTGGACAAACTAATACGCGTTTGGCTATAAGGTAATGTACTTATTAACTACACAATGTGCCAGTTACTCTAGCATTCGTCAACATTGCATAATCAATGGACCTATTATTCCTTTAATTGTCGATAGGGAGGGGGTGAGATTACTGCTCTATTTTAGTGCGCTGCCTTGGCGTTAATAGTCCCGCAAGAGTGATTTGTCAACCAGAGGCCAGTTCTGTCACAGAATCTGCCTGTGTGAATTTGGATAAGTGGAAGTGGCGGAATTCGCTTCATTACACTCTATCTATATATTTATTATTTTGCCTTATGAGTAGGCAGGTATATGTCGATAATCATGCGCGATTCCATAGCCTAACATTAAAACATGATTTATTAACACGTTCATCAACAAATATCAATGAAATAATGCGTTAATTATTGAATAATGCAGCAAATAGTGCATTAATTAGTGTTTTGGTAGCGATGTATTTTTAGCATTACTGAACAATTAATTAGTAAAACATTGCGTTTTACTTCTATATTTAATTTAATCTACTTTTTAATCATGAAACTCGCAATTTGTTTCCTTGATAATTGTCTATTACACAGACAACTGCACCGCTAATCCTTTCTATTTACCATCTTTACCAGAGTGTAGTATTTATAGCTACATTAAAGTCACGGCTTTACACTGTATCGACCCAAAGGCAGTTTCGATCTATGCATTTTGTTTGCTAATAGCTAAATTGCAAGTTATCAAGGGTGAAATATAAGTTCATCTATGCATACGTCTGAACTAGTAGCAAACTTATTTTAATTAGCGACAACAATGAGTACACTTAGCAGTGTAACTATATATTTTCAATAATTGGAAAGTGTACGCCCACTGTATGTATAAAGGTGTAAATAATTTGCAGATAACACTTTCCTATAATGAGGAAAAAGCTAATGTGCTCGAAAAAACCTCGTCATCCGTGTAAGAATGTGGGAAAGAGATACACTCTAGAGAAATGCTGAAAGTTACAAATTTAGATTTCATCATGAGAAACACCTAATTATGCATGGTAATGAAACATTAATGGCTCCTTGTGACGAATAGTACAAATTACTGGATTAATGCGGATTAATATATAGTATCGATAAACTCTCCTCGCACTCTTTGGAAGAGTGCGAATCCAATGCTTAAATCTGTCCTGCATGGTTTAGATGTGCTATTTGAGACATACGATGATTCGTAGGACAATATTTCTCTCTGGGAAGCCGCTTCACGAAGTTTCCACACTGTAGTAGTGAATGAAATCTCTGTGTGCAGCTTGAAATGAACACAATAATTGCTGGGTAGAAAATCTGGTCCAATGGAGCCTATCAAACATGCGTGCGTGCCTGTGGATGTCTATAGTCAACAGCACCTGAACTACTTCTGTATAATACTATATTGTTATAATGAAGTTTACGTGCTCTTGACGTTATAGTGCGCCGCCAATTGTCAAGGTCACGTGATAGTACCGACTGTTTGCAGTGAAAATGCCAAAAGTAACTGTCGTCAATGTGATTTCACACCCATGTAGAATAGATAAGCATCAGTTGCAAATTATCCGTTGCTATGACTACAATGCCAAAAACACTTGAATGACCTATACTACAACATTGGCTGTTGTAATGCAGCATCGCAGTCAGCATATACCATGTCAACTTGTGTTAACCACGTGACAGTGCTGCTACGCGTGCTATTGTACAATGGAACCAATTAATTACATTTTTTGAAGAATACAAGTTCTGCATAATAAAATATCATATGATTATTTATGTTTTTAAAAGATTGCTGCTAACGAAAGTTAGTAAAATGTGCTATGGAATGTGTTTTAATCTCGATGCTATTCTATAATAAGAATATGATGTTAACATTTTATATTGCCTTGTGGTGCAATGCATAGAAAAACAACAAAATCGCATATCACCTATTTCCTTCACAGAGTACAAAATATGGATTTTTTATATTTCATTAAACTCGTAAAATACAAGTTTCTTGTATGCAGGAAGAGAACCGACTACTGTTTGCCCCTTTATGTGTACGTTACAGCTAAAAACACCTCCACCTGGGATAACGGAGAACTCAAAGTGACTACTATAAATGTAAGAATCTTTTTTTTATTATGCATAAATTACCAGACCTCAGACGTTGCAATATTAGAATTACGTTACGTATGTTCATACTAGTATGCGGTTCTATAGCCACTGTGGCACTGATGAGTGCTGCCATCGTGTGAGCATTCTAGTAGCGATTAATACAAACAGTGCATATGCAGTGTTTGTTTATTCTGTACTGGGTTTAAATCGCGTTTCTTCATTCGTTCTAGTAATTGTAATTTCGGCTGTATTGAAAAATTGTAACTACTATATTAGATCGACTATGTAGTATATGGTATATATGGAAGAAGCTGTGCGGAAAGTGCACGAGTAAGAATAGAGAATTTGACGTCTGAATTCGTTGCCACGTGTCATCCAGGTTGGGAAAGATGTAGTTTCTGTTGGTTATCAAAACAAACAAAGTCTGCATTTGTATCTACATGTGTTTATTAGGCATATAGCAGTAACCAGACAGACATGTTAACAGCACGTCTGGTTTAGAGGATTTAGTTCGGTGTAGCAGTAGTTTAGTTTAGGCGTAGCAGTTCGGTTTGGTGAGTACGGTGCTGACGAACAGTATGCATAGCCACGTGACTATCGGACCAAGTGTAGCTATTAAAAATAACGTTTTGCACTATCTTCCCTATCAGCGTTCATTAATTTTCTTTATGACATTTTTGTAGCAACCGCTAGTGCAAACAAAATGCTTCTCTGCGCCGGATCTGCCATGGCAGAGTTTATGAATTAATGCCCTCGACAAATAACCCAAGAATCTGAAGCAATGGATGTTTTCTTACCCGAAACGCGTAAATCAACTTTCGGCTTCCAGTGAGTGTGCTCGATTAGTAATAGTAATAATTTGGCGAATAACTGCTGGCTCACTGTCAACATTGATCGCTACTGGCAGTAAACTAAAATATTCTGCAGTGGTGCTGGACTTTGCGGTTGTGAATGCCCAGCTTTAATGTTTGCTTTCACGTTTGTACATGCAAATCCCAGCACTAAATAAAATTGCGATGGGTTCACAGCCGCCTGTGTTTTCATAGGAGTCGCGACTGATGTGATCGGTTGACGGCAATCTTATTATAA